ACATTCTGTAAGTGGACATTTTTAGCATAAGAAGAGCTCTATTTTTTGTGTGTTAGTTATGCTGTTATTGTATGACACAGGATGCCTTTAAAGTTACCATGTGGTTATTTTACACCATTAAAGAACTGAGACTCAACTCTGGAATAAACTTTATTTTTAAGTGAACAAGAATGACAACAAAAAGGACAATATTTTTTTTGACTCCGCTTGACAGTAAAAAGCCAAAGTGGACACTCTCTCACACTCTTAGTTGTAGGTCATGTATCTGGGGGTGGCGCTGAACTTGGCGTAGGACTTGATAACCTTGTTAACGGCCTCCAGGAAATCCTTCTCTGTGGCGATCTTCCTGCGAGCTCTGATGGCGAACATGCCCGCCTCCGTGCACACGCTGCGGATCTCAGCGCCTGGCAGGAAACACATCACATTCTGCTTACAGGACGAACAGGAAATACTGTGTGGAGGTTCAATCCCTTATGTTGCTATACACTCTGGTTAATGAGATTTTTAGGTTTGGGGGGAGATGTTTTTTATGGCAATTTTGTGATAAGAGACTGTTTAAAAAGAAGCTTTAATGTACAAGTGCTGAGCTTCATCTGCTTGATGAAGTAAAATAACCCAAAGATTTCCTGACTCATTGTCTGTGTCCTGTGAAAGCCATGTGTCTATGAAACGTCCCCTTTCCATGACAGTTCAGGTTCAGCTTGGTGACAATGCACAGTTCCCTCAAATGTTTATTATTCTTAAAAAGAATGAGAATTTCGTCAACCCATAAAGGAACTTTTAATCATTTTGGCTTAACTGTCAAATTCAATATCACTAAATGTGCAGACATAGTTTGGATTGGCCAGCAAAATGTTGATAGAGTGCACCCTTGTGGTCACATATCAGTACTACACTTGTGAACAAATAATTGAAGGCAAACTTGTAATTGTTTACTGGAGTGAATACTCCACAGCAGCAACATAAGAAGCAACTGAGAAGAATAAAAAAAAAAAAAAAAAA